CACGCCCACGCTGGTACCGCCGCCGTCACCGCCCGACAAGTGGAGGGTCTCCGCGAGCCGCCGGCAACGGCTTCGATGGTTCTCGGGCCAGTTCTTGCTTCTCCGCCGCCGCGTCTGTCAGACAACACGTCCGTCCGACACCCGACGACCGCCGCACCGATTTCACCGACGTACCGTTTGGTCGTCCATTGCATTAATATTRTTATTATTATAATAAAAAGTAATTTTTGATTTTGGCATTTATTTTTTCGGATTAATATTATAATTGAGTGTAATTCGGTCGTTTTTTTTTATATATATATTTTTTTTTGTTTTTTTTTTTTTTATTAATTTTTACTACCGCCTGCATACTACATTGCATCTGCCGTAGTCGTCGTCAAAAGTGTATTCCTAAAATATATCACTCCGCCCGGGCAAAACGATTTATCAATATGAATCTGTTGCGGTGGTATACGTGCCGCCGACCCGCTCTTTACGCACCTTACCGGCGCGGCTGACAGTTACACTCGTGGATGCCACACTCACGGACGTAACGGTTGATTTTCTTTGCTGATAAAAATTTTTTTTTTGCGATTTTGTTCGTCCCCGTCGTGAAAAAACGTATTTTTGTCGCCACCGTTACTCTAAGCCGTGACCTAGCCACCGCCGCCAAGTCAAAATGCCGAAGATATTCCTCATCAAAAACCGATTGCACCAGCAGCAACAGAAACTGCTAGAAAACCAAAAAGGAAACGCACATGTTTCCTCCGACCCGCTGGTACAGTCGCTGCAAAACTATCATAACGATCACCATCACCATGGCCGATTACCGTCACCGCCACCACCGTTCATTAAGCACCACTATCAGCCCCATCATCATCAGCCTGCGCAGCCACCGCCGCCGCCTGCACCGATAAGGCAGCATTTGCCGCCTCCGCCGCCACCTCCGCCACCGCCACCACCGCCGCCGAAGCAGCAGCCGCAGTCCAAAGTCGTCCAGGAGTCACCGGTGCCGAAAACCCCACAAGGTAAGGACCCCCAATCTGACATTTATTATCGTYGCCTTCGTCCTGTCATAATATCAATTATTCGTATATTCACAAAACAGTATTTATATCGTCACGATAACCAATAATATAATATAATATAATTTATAATAACATATTTTTTAAACTGCAGTGCGTATTGTATTGCAGGGTAATGTACAAAACGTGATTTACGCATGGGGCGCGTAACACCAGAACAGCCTACCCACAAGCAGATTTTTTCGATATAAATATTTTTTTTTATATTATTATTAGTAACAAAATTAATTATTAAATTAATATTTGTCAAAATAAATTACATTGTCCAGCGGACAATTTCTCTTTTAGACTGTTACAGGAACCAATTTGTTTATGGATTTTAATTAAAAATATACCGTATAATCTTAATTAGATAATAAAACGTTTAATAAAACCACATTTTAAGCTGTTCTGGCACCATACGCGCCTTATAATATGTTATATAGCACAATAATATTGTGATCGGTGTAACGGTGAAATAATTTTTCTCTAAATGCACAATATTATTTTATAGGATTTCTTACAATACCTATTCTTTTTTTTTWATGCTATAATATTATATACCACCCRCATATGAGATATTCGTGTCCAAGCTCGCACGCTCTAGGAACCATATAGTAATCAATCAGACTTAGATGCGGCGGTTGCTTGAGGCACCACGTATATTTATATATTATATTATATTATATACTTGGAAATTGAAGCTTATTATACTATTTGTACTACGTACGTCTAGGTAAACTGTATACCGTGATCATAATATATTTTAACTCATTAACAAATTAATTCGCGGCTGGTGTGTATGGCTAGCCACCGCTTGGTAGGGAAACTTAAACGCTCGATACCTACTGGATTTCACATTTTGTAATATATGCAGGCATTCGAATTTTAATGTGATAATAATATGTAAGTTACAGGCATATCCGAACATGACTAAAATACAATTACGATAAATTTTTTATTTATCTATTTATTTTGATGATTGACATTTTTATTGTAGTCTGGACGTATAAAATAATTGCGAAATCGCCGAACGAAAATTTACGCGTACTATTTTGAAATATTTCTCAACAATTATCCAGTCATTATTTCTTTAAATAGTGTTTTCTRTTGTTAAATTATAGTTTGTACTTATTTGTTTTTAGATAAAAAGATGGTTCTTTCAAATGTTTTTTTTTATTTATCAAATGTAATAGAATATCTCCAATTTCATTAAAATAAGTGATTTATTTTTGCGAGTTCTTAGTTTTTTTTTAGTTCCACGTCATCGATTATAAATCGTGACCGGGTGATAGGTACCATCGGCACCTGTCATCAACATTTAATGTCGCTAAAACACGTATTCTAACTGTATAGGTATTTCAACGTTGATTTCCTTTATTAATTTGTTTCTAATATTAAAGCGCATTCGTCGAGTCTGTTGTTGGTTATCGAATCAAAGAAAATGATGAGGGGTGTTGAATCTGATCGTACACGGTAGTCTTGCGAACTATTGTGTGTCTTTGGACCCGAAATCGATAAATTTCTGTTCAACCTCAGCTTTATTCGTGGCAAGTGGTCTTGCACACTTGTTTGTGCATATTTACYTATCTATTTATCCCCTTTGTGTTAGTGGGTGAATAATAGTGGCTGATGGTTCACATAACCTCCGGTCTCCGCGGGCGTTTATAGACAATTTCCAAAGCGTGGACTGTTCCCGCAGCGAACGATTACAATGCGAACCGGTGAAAAAATTTACAAAAAAAAATATTTGGCAATTCACGTATACTTCGATTTTGGCCACGCCTTGTGTTTATACTCCTTTTATGTTACCTATGAGGTTCCACAATTTGACAAGGATTTTTTCCCTTCACATTTATATAAGTAGATACCAACACTTTGTAAATATAACGATCACCTAACGCCGTCGCAACTTGACGCGACAGGAGGCCAAAAATCGAAACGTGAAGTATTATATTATGTACCCGCGCGGGTACATATAATAACAATTTACCTTCATAATATATATATATATATATATACATATATATATATATATATA